TTTTTTTTTTTTTTTTTTTTCCATAAAATATATAACTACTCACTTATACCACCACGTCGCGACATTTCTCGAACTTTACATGGAATTGTTTGTTATTTATTAATCTCGCAGCGGAAGAACCGTCGATTCATCGAAATCACTGATATCACTAACATAATATTGGGACGAACAATAAAAATCGTATATCGGCACTTTCCTTTGTCAATAGTTTCTGGGACAACGGGGGCGATTGTTCGTTTACAATCGTTAAAAATGCTTAACATTGAGATTTGAAAACTTCCCAAGTTTAATTGCCGATCGAAGATAGGAGTACAATTTACGTGGAGATAAATCTTGAGGGGGAACATTTCCATATAAAAAAAGGAACGAGAATGACAAATTAAATAAGAAAATCTTTGGACGTTGTGTTTAAACGTGTATCGAATGGAATATTAAGTGTACGTGGCACATATATATATCAACGTAACAAAGGGAATATTATTAAGTTACCATTTTAAAAAATTTTAACGTGACGTTTCTTGTAGACTGGTTTTTAACGAATTTTAATAATTTTATTGGAAATATATGATATTGCATTATCATATTGGAAAATGTGCAACTTGGAAATGGATCGTGTTGAACGTTTCATTACATTTTAATCGGTGAAGATTAAATATATCCACAATAAGTTATTATTTCGAACAGTAAGAAATGTATAAAATATATTTCTTTCTTTTTTTAATATATTAAAATGATATTTTATAGATATTCAATATCGAATCAGTTATATAAAAAATATGACTGTATATGAACATTTTTATATTTAAATATTTTGGCAAAAATTCAAAAGATTATACCTCGATTGGCTGAGTCATTTATATATCTACCACTATCATTTGTTCTTCGAAAATAATTTTTCTCGACTAAAAGTACGCGTAATATCAAAAATTGCATATTATAAAATTAATTAACAAAAATGAAACAAAGGACTTTGAAAAAAATAATTACTTTATCAAAAAAAAAAAAAATATTAAACTTCAAAAACTTTCTTTTTCTATCAAAATTCCACGTAATTATACTATATTAATAATTTATTTCAAAAACAGAAAGAAAACTCGAAAAAAAAAAAGAAATAATTTATACCAAAATTCTATATGACAAATAATTATATCACTAACAATTTGATACCGAAACGAAATATTTTTGATGAAAAAAAAATATATATAGAAAAATAATTATTAATTACTTTTTAACGTCTCAAGATCGATCACTTGAGGATTATACCATCGGAAAACTTGGCGGAAATGGTATCAGTTTCGTGCTTCTAGCCTCTCGAAACTATTCTTTTCCACCACACTCTCCATTCCTCTTTTTACCCACGGCACAAGGATAACCGCGTGGTGTATGCATCGGTTACGCTCGTCCATCGGCTTTTAATCAAAAGATACAAAGGACCGGTGTTGCTGTTTGTTTGGCGTCCCCTCGAAAACGCGACGACACAGAGGATCGGTAACACGATTTTCAACGATACATCTAGGAAGTCCCTTTGATCAAGGAACAAGCAGTTCGCTGGAAATCCGCAAAGAGGAAAATACACAGTCGATTCCCTGAGGATGGAAGGAGATGATCGTGAATCGATCGTCGAACGAAATTGAATAACTCTGCTCGATGAAAATCTATCTTTTGGGGGAGATGGTTCTTTCTTTAAGATCGATATATATATACTTTTAACGGCGTGACCAAAGGAAAATTCATTTTCTACGTAAACTTAAAGCTTTTTTGATATTTTATATCTTTATTTTTATTTTCTTTTTTTTTCTAATTTGAATTTTTTTTTCTTTTATGTTCCAGAATATTAAAAATTTGAAAAAAAATTAGGATCACTTTTGTAATATTCCTTTTGTAGATCTATTTTGTTTGTAAAAATTGTCGATATTCCAGCTTTTCAAAAAAATTCTTGAACTATTTAACCCATGAATTTTTATTTGAGATTTTGCGAATTTGTCGACGATTTTTTAAAAAGAAATTTTACTTTATTACTTTAAATTCTTCACTGTTACTCATTTAAAAGATTCAATATTTAAATAAGAAAAATAATTCCAGAAAAATTTATCAATATCTCTATCCCATTATACAATCAATTTGTTAAAAAAATATCTTTAATAATAATCGAAACAATAATCGCAGAGATGTTTAAAAATTCATTTGTATCATTGCAGTCAAAATAAATATATCCAAAAGAACGGAGGGTTGGACGAAATATTTATGAGGAGGAGTACTCGTAACTCAGGATGGACTCTTGACTCGAAGACTATTTTTTTTTTTTTCTCACATTTGCAACGGAGCAACGGTCACGGTGTTATCGCTTCTTCTAAGCTGGTTGCACGAGGCTTGGTAACGCCTGTCAGCTCGCCAATATCGTGAATCGTTTTGATTCAGTTTTATTCAAGTTCGAATTCGAACAGAAAATGGCAAATACAATTGCGACATTGTGATTCGCAGTGAAAATTAAAAAATCAATGAATAATTAATCTTTCGGCTTCTTTCTTAATTCTGTTAGATTTAAAATAATCTATCATGTCTATCAAAAGAATTCTTTCTTCTATTATTATGTTTTGTTTCTTCGAATTGATAAGGAAGGAAAATAGTGATATCTATTGTTAATTTTCCTCAAGAGATAGGGAAAAATTAAACTTGTTTAGAATTTAATACGTATATTCGATACGTATTGAAGATTATAAAAATTGTTCCAACTATTATGATAAACTGTACTGTATCGCTTTTCTATTTTCATAAGTTAAGATTTCTTTTTTCATTGATTAATAAAATTTTAAATTATTGGAATAATTAATATAATTTGTTATATTTTAATATATTTTATCGATACAAATAATATTGATTGATTAGAAATATAAAAATATGAGAATTTCATTGAAATAAAACTTGAGCAGCCTCGAGATAGATATCAAAGTGAATTTTTTGAATAATTTTTTTTCCATACACATAATCATTTTTATCTTTATTTTTAAAAAATTTACAATATATATTCGATAAAAATTGTCGATATTGTAAATTGTTGTATATCTTCGTAAAAAAAAAAAAAAAAAAGAATCGTATAATAATCTCTCTGAACTTATTTTAAAGCATAAAATCTTTCACAATTCTGAGTTCATTTTCTTCAAAGATATTTTTATATCGTATAACAAATAAAGAAATAAAGATGCTATTCTAAAAAATTGAAAAATTCTTTTCGTGATCGAACTTATGATACGCTTAAAGATTGTAGTCTCCCTCAAAAACTCCATTTTTTTTCCTTTTTCATCAACTTGTTGTTAAACTTCGAATCTACGAGAATTAGACAACGAAAACGAAAATTAAAAAAAAATGTTTGCTTTCATCATTATTGAAAATTCAATAAGAGTATGATAGCCATTTCAATTCGATGTTTTGATCTCAAATATCTTCGTTCTATTTGCAATTGATCACCAATCGGGCAGGAACTTTCCTCCATTTCCAAACACGTATCACAGGAGTGTATATGATAATCCATTGCCACATCCACTGGTTGTGACAGATTCTCGGCAAACATGTGAAATGAGGATTATCAAAACAATATTCTGGATATAGGGAACGGTGCGGGGTTCGAAGTGTGGCATACAATCCATTTCCGGTAGGGAATGGCCCCATCCGGAGCCAGCGGTGGTATATGTTAATAACGCGTGCGACCATGCAAAAGGAATGCACGGATTATGCGCGATGACATTTTTGAACGGTGTGGAATTGGGTTGACGTCACTCACGACGAATTCGTGAAACGTTTCTCGTACGATAGTGATAAATCGGATCGATCTCGAATTTGTTTCGGCAAACAATTGAAATATCAACCGATCCGTGTTAATTTCTGATTGACGTTAGAAATGTTGTTGCTCGAGTGTAATTGAAGATATTTATTCGAGGAGGAAGAAAAAACTTATTGTAAATAGTGAATGGTGAATTGTATAAATTGTTGTTAGATAGAAGTTTTAATATTTCTGTTTCTATAGATAATGAAAAGTGTGAATCATAAAATGACAATTGTACATGAGAATTGGTGAATAAATTGTTGTAATTATTGTTGAGTGAATTTTTTTTAATAAGAAAAATGAATCATATAATAAGAATATTGTTATTATTAAAAATAATGATTAATAATGATTAATAAGATGAAATTATAAGTAATAAAATATATATGTTATATATATATATGTTAGATGTATGAGGAATTTTATATTGCATTTATAACATACGGATACTGGTGGCATTATCGCGATGTGTTTGCTAGTTAAAGTCCGTTACTTTCCACATTGTCATCGTCGCCACTGCAAACCAATGAGTAATTCGTTTACTGATAATTTTCCATTCAAATTTGCCCGAGTCTGTCTCATTTAATTATCTTTGGCCATGTTTACGCGTCGAACGTTCACGTACGTTCAATTGATCGAAATTGATACGAGCAAATCCTATTTTTCCTCTAAAATCAACGATACTTTGTGTCAGAAGTTAAATTTTTTTCGTGACTCGAAGAAGACACATTATCGATTTTTAAATCGAAATAAATTTGGAAATATAGATATTTAAATATTTGTTTGAAAATGAATCGATTTTACTTTTATTAGATGATGTATCATCACTTTTAAAGGGCACTAGATGCATCAGTATAATAATCAAATTTCTTGTCAACAATGGAAAAGAAAAATTTAAAAGATTTTTTTTATATCGATTTAAATATCTAAGAAAAATTTTTGAATAATATTTGAATCAACTGTATAAAATAAACTATGATCATTTTGGAAGTATTTTTAGTAATATTTATAAAAAATTGGAATTTAAGAAAAAATGAAATAAATCTTTTTTGAGATCTTGAAAGGTTGCATCATAAATTATAATTAATTTCAATTTTGATAAGATATATTCGCTTTAAATGAAAATAATCGCAGATATATATATATTTATTTCAATATTGACATAATAAAAAAATAATGATTTTAAGACAAATATATATTTGTTAGAAAAACAAATATGAAGATCAAAATATGATTACGTTAAAAATTGATTTACGATATTTTCCAACTTATTTTTTTTTTAATAATTTAATAAATTAATAATTCAAAAATAGGTTATATCATTTACAGCAAATATTCTCCTTGAAACAATCAACGTTCTATTAACAATATTCAATATTAAAATAAATAATATTTTATAAGAATCTTTTTAAAAATAAAACATAATTCAATAATGGATCGATCGATGAAAGACTGGTGAAAATAAATCGAAACTCAAGTCGTATAAATACTCTATATTTGAACCGATGATTATTAAAAAAAAATAAGACTGGGGTTATCGGTAGATTAGATTCACTTTAGTCGCGTATTCAAGGTATTTTTGATATATTTATACAGATTTATATTTATATAAATTTTTATTGAATAAATTGCATTCATATTTTAATAAAATTTTTTTGAATTTCAAATTTAATTATGACTTTTATAATTTGTGGAATGAGTTTCAGAAGTTAAAAAAAAAAGTGATATTTACTTCTATTTACGATTATTCGTACGACAAGATTTTACAAGGGAAATTTATATTATTATTAATTTCAATATATCAAAATGAAATGAACAAAACGAATTTAAGATTTTATTGTATCAAATATTGAAAAAAATATTAAAAATTTCATTAATCTAATAAATATTAAATATTTTATATTTACTATATAACTCAGTAGACTTTTAATAAATTTCATCGATAATTCACTACTGTTTATGATTGGATCTCCAATTCACTCCTGATCATGATACTATTATATTGTGATTTAATTTCTGAAATATTTTTCACTTTTATTCAACGAGAAATTACATCGAAATTCCATGCAGATGTGGAATTATTTCTTTTTGAAACGAGGATGAAAAAAAATTCGAAATAACCTGATAAATTAATTAAATTCTAATTACACGTGAAAAATTGATGTCAATGAAATTTTTTTCATTTGGAAAAAATTAAATGTACATTTTTTTCAGATTACAGACTACGAGACGACTCCACACTGGTATAAGGCAAAAAAAAAGAAAAAAAAGGAGGAGATAGGAAGCGAAAAAAGAAAGAAAAGGTGTACAATGTTAAACGGAGCCTTTGATAAATTAATTAAAGATGAATTATGCAAAAAAGTTCGCTTTTAACTGGATCTCTTTAGCCGAAGATTAACGAAGTTCTTTCGACGATTCCCGCCTGTTCCAACCCGATGCAATGCAATTATGCTTGAAACAGTTGGGAAATTGTCTTACATCTCTAAGCCTCGTTCACTATCTGTTACGCTATTTCGATTTCTTTTGAAAAAGAGACGAAGAAGAAGATAGAAAAAAAAAAAAAGAAAAAAAAAAGGAAAGAAAATCCTACGTAGGAGGGAACGTTGTTACATAAGAAAAAGAAAGGTCAAAGGGAATTATGGTGTTCATTTAATCCTGTAGAGGTCACGATTTCATTCATAAAATCTTTCATTGTAACTACTTTACAGAATTGATGTTTACTCATAATTTGTTTCAAGCCTTTTTCAAGTTAAAATATCCTATATAAAAAAATGTTCCACATTTTTATTTTTCAGCTCTATGTAATTCTATAAGGATTTAAAATCAGATTTATTCAATCTAACAAGAGCAATTTTTTTTGAACTTGTTATATAATATTTTAATTAACGTTTTAAGATAAAAAGTGTATACATAATAAGTGTATATATTGCATGTTAAAATTGCGTTCAAAGATTTTATTTTTTTTCATTAAAGTTTGGAAGAAAGATTAATTTCATTAGTTCTTTATATTGAGATTCATGTAACAAATGTGTAGAAAAGCCTTTGTACATTTGTATAAAAAAAAAATTTCATTTTTATGAAAATTCTAGTAATAATATTTCACCACGCTCAAAGTTAACGCGTTTCAAAATCACTAATTGAAAAATTATTCAACTATCACTTCATATCTTATTAAAAAACATCTAAAGATTCTGACCTACATTAAATTTTTATCGATCGCCCTTGAAATTATATAATGTCAAACAAGAATATTCCATTATGTCATAACATATGAATTAATGTACAAATGTAAATAGCGATAAAGATTGATAATATACGTATTATCCCGAATGAATTATATAAATGATTTTAGCGATTGAGAAAATTAAACTTATCAATGGCACAAGTCAGTTCACTCATTCAAGATTAGCGCAGGTCGAAATCATCGTTTATCTTTTTGTTTGGAAATGAATCATTCATTATGTTCTATGAAATATAAATTTGCAACGTTATTGAAATGATTATCGATTATCGGATATTATTTCTGAAGGATCTTCTGAAGAAATTAATCAGCTCTTTATAACGATATACAAAAAGAAAAAAAGTGTTTCGACGAGAGAAAATCATGTGTGTATATCCGGTCTTTGAAGTATCCAATTAATTCACGAATGCTCGACTCAACAATGTTCCGCAATACCATAATATTGTTATTAATTTTCAATAAATGATTTTTATTAATTAAATCATAATATTAATATAATATTGCCGTGATAATAATTATTATTGAATATTATTTATTTCCCTACATTACATTAAATATTTAAAATACCTTTATCCCTTCAATATATATTTTACATTTCATCTTATAAGACATGTTTTATCAGAAATTTAACTCTATCACAACATGCACAATTCCCCATTTTCCAATAATTCTCCTCGCTAATCGCACCCGGAAAAATAACAAAATTCATTCCTCCACGAACGACCGAGCAATCTACTTCCCCTACCCCAACCAGGCCATAAAATTCCAGCCCACGGAACACCTGCACCCCAAAACCGTCGTACCAAAGCCATCTAAATCACCCATTACGATCGTTCTCTCGGCCTCTTTCATTCCCAAATAAAAAAAAAAAGAAAAAAAAAAAAGAAAAAAAACAACACCTAGGAACTCGTAATCATTCTTCAAACTAGTTTGTGCACGATGGCGAATGACGAATAGTAATAGTATAATGATAAATTACACGAAAATGGAACGATCAGCTGTTCGAGCACAAAGGATTACACCTCTGAACGTGCACGGTGTCAGATAGTGGTGTACAGTCATCCCTCGTGTCGTTTCACGCTTATGTCTTGTCTATTAGTAATGTAATACTCATTTCTCTTTTTTTTTCTTTTGCAACAAAAATGCTAATATGTATATATACACGTCTATCTTTTTTAAATTCTATATTTTGTTTTTGTATTTGTACAAAAGTGTTTTTAAACGACAAGAAATTTAATATAACTTGAATTTAAATCCCATAATAAATTCATTTATATACATATTATATATATTTTGATAGCAACAATAGTATTTCAATTTTAAATTGAAATTATTAGAAATATCTTTCTATGTAATTTTTTAATTAATAATGTGAGTTATAAAATATTTTAAAACAATAACTCCAA